GATAAGTACTGTAGACCTGGAGTCAAAATAGGGATTTGTAGCTTGAGAAAGTAAAGTAGACACTATTTCCAGCCTAGTTAGTTTACATTTTTAAGAGTCCCTAGTTGTAGGCTTGCAAATATAATCTTTGCTTTTTGTTTCAATTTGTTCCTGTATTTTTCTATGATCCCCATTCCTCTTTTTTGAAGTACCAATTTTTAATTATTTTGTTTCTAAAGTTTCTTTATGGTCAATAAATTTTAAGCTACATAAATGCATATGCATTGAGTTGAATGTTTCAAGTTTTTCAATAGTTTACTGCTGCATTTGCTTTTTTTCCACACAACCATTATTTACTGAGACAGGTGGTTTTGTGTAAACACATGTTTAACAAGTGAAGTATGAAAATCAGTAGAGTAAATCACCACTCACAAGAGTAGAAAAATCTACTATAGTAATCATGTACTGTTAGAAAATTCACTGAAATAATTGCAGAAAACTACATAGAGACAAAATACAACAGCAAACTTGAGAAATGATGAATCCTCAATGTGGCAGTTTTGAATTAATGCACTATAAGTTGCACAAGTTATTTTCCAATTAATGTGCATTAGTAAAATACCGGGATTTTTTCAGTGGCAGGAAGGGAAAGACTTAGAGAAATTCTCCAGGGTAAAAAAAAAAGAAGGTGCATAAATTAATTAAAAACTACCCTATGACATACTCAATACTTCATTCATTACTATTGTCCTGATTTCAGTAAAATATTTGTATCCATTTTTTCTGTAGTGGTTTGTAAAACTATAATTAATAATAATAAGGCTGAAGGCACTGTTATAAACATGTATTGTTTACTCTAATAAAACAAAGCATTTCTAGCTAGTATAAAATGGAGCACTTCCAATTAGAATAATGGTGCTTAAATGGCTTCGAAAAGCTTATGTTTGTAGCAAAAATTTTAGATGATGGAAATCTCAACTTTCCAGAATCAACTTAAAAATAGCCTTATAACCTTTGTAGGAGTTTGTTTAGTAGCAGTGCATTGATTTTGGTGCAGTATACATAGCTTTTTTTGCTGTAGGCTATGGTGCATGAATGACTTCAAAGAGAAACTTGGTCAGCAGTAATGAAAAACTGATAATATCTTCTTCTCTTTCAAGAATCAACATAAAAATAATCCTATGACCTGAGGAGAAAATTTTTTAGTGAGTTTGCCCAGGTTTGAATAAAATATTCTTAGCTGTTTTTTCTGTAGGCTTGTGAAACAAGAATAATATTAATAATAATAATAACATGAAAAAGAAATTGGTGACTTTTGTCCAACAATTGGAATATTATCTTTTTTGCTATTATCAATATTTTAGCAGCCTTAGTCATTGAGATAGAAGGTTCTGAATGTTGTTTCAAGAACAAGTCTACTTTTTAAGATGGTTTTTGCCCGAATGTTCTATTAGACTTTTTGTGAAATTCCTGGGTGAACCTTATTATGAACCATTATTGTGGTTCCTGCTAGATAGTGGGCATAAAAGACCAAATGCTACTTTGTTGACTATAACGTTATTAAGATTGGGTGATATACCTATATTGTATATAATAATACATTAAAGTTTACCATGTTTTGACATTTCAGCATTATATTGGAGGACTATGTCAGGAAATATATTGTTACTATATTTGCCCAAATATAATGTAAACTTTTTTTCCTCCAAATGATTCCCAAAAAATTGACTGCATTATATTCACATACGTTCAGTTTTGTTAGGTATTTTTACATTAAAGGTTTAAAAAAATGTTGCATATTAAATGCAACGGATGGGATGGATGATGACATGCTGTGGGAATCAAAAGAGGATGAAGCAAAGATTCAAGGAAGCAAATCTGATGATTATGACAGTTCTAGCAATGTCAAAGATTTATGTGAAGATGAATGATTTGCTTAGTATATTACCACATATAAACTTTTCAATAAATTTTGTAAAATTTATATGCATAAAAAATTTCAATGAAAGATTTCCATATATATTTACTACATCAATAGTTGTTTACTGTATTTAGAAACTGTTCAATACATTTTCTACAACTGATGTGTAAAAACAAACATTTTTTTCAATTTAACCTTTTAAAATTGGGTGCACATTAAATTTGGGCAAATATCATACATTCATTTAATTTTGAACAAATTTTGCAGAAATGTTTTCATAATGTTGATTCTTCTAGGTAATTTACATGTGATATGAATTACATGACTATACCAGTGTATGTTTTGCACATGAAATGATTATTGCATTTATAGTCTTTGTGATTGTATGCTTATTGTCTGCTAAATACAGAGAAAATTAACTTAAGATAGGTGTTATGTTCTGATTGTAAACTGCTGTTATGTGTAGTTAAAGTTCTTGTGTGACAGTAAGCAGTGGACATTCAAACCAAGTGAAAATAATTATGGT